TCCATTAAAGGTTATCTTTTTTCATCTCAAAAACTAAATAATATGAAAGAGGGAACATGTAATTTGGTATTTATATTATAATATGCAAGAAATTCATTTATATATATTATAATATTTTTATCCTTTTACGAAACATTAATTAAGTTTTAATATTCTTTTCATATTTGAAATGGTAGTTGTAATAAAAATATTATAAATTATATTAGTTTTAAATTATTAAGTATGAAAAATTATAAAGATTATAAAGAGTTAAATGAAAATAACTTAAAGTTTTATATGATAAATATAATATTTAAAAACTTTAATAGTAAAAAAAAATGTATATATATATATACCAAAACTGAAAATTTCAAAAGTTGAGGGGCGCCGCTGCCCCCTGACACCCCCCTCGCTCTGCTATTGACAATAAACAACTTAAACTTTTATGTTGGAGGATTTCGAGTTTGAGTTTTAAATAAGATAAGAAGGACTATCTCATATTATATTGTTAAGATGTGAACACAATTATATGTAGAATTATTGTAAATATTTTATACTTTAGAATATTCTCTTTGTATACTTTATACCTTATAATATTCTCTTTGTAAACACCTATATATAGCTCATTGTATATACAGTATCATTCAAGAAAGCAATAAACCTTTCTTCAAATTATTCTTCTTCTTTTCTATTTCCAACATGGTATCACAACAGTAAGCTTCTGGTTCTGTTCTCTTATCATCGCTGTTTGGTTTTTGAAGTTGGATTTTTGATTCCATTCCAGATTTGAAACTTTGTTATTAGGATCTTTTCTCCTACATATTGGATTGTTTATCCTTGATTCTCAGGCCCTTTCTGAGGCATTTTGTTGGTTTGTTATTTTGATCTTGGCATCTATTTCTTCATTTTTTTTAGAGTTTTTCAATATTTTGAGTTTTACTGATTCTATGGCAAGTTTTGAAAGGACTGTAACTCATCCTGCTACTACTATGGTTGCCAAAGAAGTAATAGACCAACTTAATGTCAACCTTAAATCCTTAAAACAGGTGATATTAAATCTTTTTAATGCTCCAACTGCCTTATCTATTGCTCGAGGTAACAAATCTTGGTATTTTGATTCTGGTTGTTGTAACCATATGTTTTCAATTACTGCTCATTTCTCTTCAATGTCACCAAATAATTCCTTTCCTGATATTTATTTTGCTGATGGTTCCCTTATTAATGTTAGTCACATTGGTAATATTTCTACAAAGTCATTGACTTTACCAAATGCCCTCTTAGTTCCAAAACTTAGTTATAATCTTCTATCTATTGATCAATTATGTGATCTTGGTCTTGAAGTAACATTTTCTGCTCATGGTTGTCATGTGTAGGATCCACAGACAGGACAACTTCTTGGAACTAGTCACAAGGTGGGGTGTTTGTTTGAGCTCAACTATCCACATATTCTTGATAATAAAATGGATACACCATTTTTTTTCCAAATGATTGATTCATCCAAACCTTGCTTTTTGCTGTTGAATTAGAGTCTTTACAAATTCCATACAAACAAATTTTGCAAGTTTGTGTTGCTACTAACATATCTCTTCTCCATTTGTGGCATTCATGCCTCAAACATACCTCAGTCAGTAAACTTCGTCCACTTATCTCTTGTGGTTTATTAGGATCAGTTCCAAATGAATCCTTGCATTGTGTGTCATGTCAACTTGCAAAGTAACCAGCTTTATCTTTTTCAAGTAGTCATTCTCATTCTTCTGCTCCTTTTGATCTTGTGCATTTTGATGTTTGGGATCTGTCTCCTACACCCACCATGGGGGTTTCTAGGTATTTTGTGTTATTTATTGATGATCATACTCATTTTACCTAGATATACCTTATGAAAAATCGCTCTGAATTATCACAAATTTATATTGATTTTGCTACCATGGTCAAAACTTAGTTCTCTAAAATTATCAAACTTTTGAAAATTGACAATGCTACTAAATATCTTGGTACTAAACTTCAATCCTTTTTGAAAGAACATGGTACATTGACACAACAATCTTGTCCTTATACTTTTGAACAAATGGGCGAGTCGAAAGCAAACACAGACACATCTTTGATTCTATTTGTACTTTGCTCATTTCATCTTCTTGTCCAGAGCGATTTTGGGGTGAAGTTGCTCTTATAGCTGTTTATCTTATTAATTGCATTCCATCATCAGTCCTTAATAACTAGTCTCCATACGAGCGTTTACATGGTATTCTTGCTGCCTATAATCTTCTTAAGGTTTTTGGTTGTGCATGTTTTGTTCTTCTTCCACTTCATGAACATAACAAGTTAGAGCCTAGAGTGCGATTATGTTGTTTTTTGGGTTATGGGATTACGTAAAAAGGATATCGTTGTTGGGATTTTGTGTCACAAAAACTCCGAGTTTCACGTCATGTTGTTGGGAACATACTATGTTCTCATTGTTGTCAAACTTCAAATTGTCATTCTCTCATCAACCTCCATTGTTTACTAATCCTTCTATTTAGCTATTTCCTAATGATTCTAATGCAGGTACATCTGATGAGCTCTATAATGCCTCACCACAGGCTTTAACTAGTTCTGCAGAAGATGATCTGCTTACTAGTAATGCATTAGATAATTTTGAGCCTTTTTCTACTTCCTCATCTATATCACCTGTTGATGTTGCATTTGATATTGTTGAGTCTACAAATGAGCATGTTGTCCTATCCTTAAGTCATCCTACTTGGGTAAGAAACCCTCCCAGCTACCTTTGTGATTATTATTGTTTTCCTGCTATTACTTCTTTACATTAGCCTCAATCCTATCAAGAGGCCTCTTCTAACCCTCTTTGGTAACAAGCTATGCAAGATGAATTACAGGCTCTTAAGACCACTCGTACATGGGATTTAGTTGATCTCCTTGTTGAAAAGTCTCTGATAGGTCGTAAATGGGTGTATAAGATCAAAACACGATCTGATGGTTCTGTGGAGCGTTATAAGGCACGCTTGGTTGCCAAGGGTCTTGCATAAGAGTATGGAATAGACTATGAGGAAACATTTGCTCTAGTTGCTTGTCTCACCTCTGTATGCAGTTTGCTTGCTATCGTTGCTATGCGGAGATGGAAATTGTTTTAGATGGATGTGAAAAATGCTTTTCTTAATGGTGAACTAGAAGAAGAAGTTTATATGAAACCACCTCTTGGGCTCAACCATCCTCCAAATAAGGTATGCCAATTGTGACGTGCATTATATGGATTGAAGCAATCCTTTCAAGCCTAGTATGGAAAGTTTAGTGCTACTATAAGTGAGTTTGGTTTTACTTCCAGTCTACATGATACAGCTCTGTTCATTCATAAGACTGCTCGGGGTATGGTTTTTTTACTTCTTGATGTTGACGATATGATTGTTACTGGAGATGATGCCACAAGTGTTGAGGAGCTAAAACAATCTCTTAGTAAAAATTTTGAAATGAAAGATTTTGGTGTTCTGAACTATTTTCTGAAGCTTGAAGTCACCTTTTCAGATAATGGCTGCCTACTCTCTCAAGTAAAATATGCCTCCGATCTTATTTCTAAAGTTGAACTCAACGATGGTAAGAGTGTTTCTACACCTCTTGAACCTAATGTCAAGTTTACACCTATGGATGGCTTTCCACTTTCTGATCCTACTCGTTATCGGCAATTGGTTGGTAGTCTAATTTATCTTACCACGACACGCTCTACTATAGCATATGCAGTTCACATTGTTAGTCAATTTATGGTTGCTCCTTGCTCCTTGCTCCATTCATTATGCAGCAGTACTTTGCATTATTCGCTATATTAAGGGAACATTATTTCATGGACTCCATTTTTCTGCCAACTCCTTCCTTGTGCTTTGTGCTTACTCTAATGTCGATTGTGTTGGTGATCCTTCTGATTGTAGAGCTATCACTAGTTACTGCCTTTTCCTTGGTAATTCTCTTATCTTTTGGTAGAGTAAGAAACAAACTATTCCATCCGCTCTAGTGTTAAAGCTGAGTATAGAGCCCTCGGTGATACCATATCAAAACTTCTTTCATTACAATGGCTTCTTGAAGATATGGGCATTCGTTAGCCTTCTTCTACTAATTTATATGGTGATAATCAAAGTGCTATGTAGATTGCTTATAATGATGTCTTCCATAAACGCACTAAACACATTAAGGTTGATTGTCACTTTGTTCGCTATCATGTTGCACAAGGAACTGTTCATTTGATTTTCATTGGCTCTGCTGATCAACCAACAGACCTATTTACCAAGGCTTATTTTTTTGGACGCTTTCATACTCTTCTTTCTAAACTCAAGTTGGTTTCATCACAACCATCTTGAATTTGAGGAGAGATGTTAAGTTGTGAATACAATTATATTCAGAATTATTGTAAATATTTTATACTTTAAAAAATTCTTTTTGTATACTTTATACCGTAGAATATTCTTTTTGTAAATACTTATATAGAGGTCATTGTACATACAGTATTATTTAAGAAAGCAATAAATCTTTCTTTAAATTATTATTCTTCTTTTATGTTTCCAACATATATAATCTATTATCAGCGCTTAGAACCAGTGAGTGTAACATGCTTGAATATTTGCTGTTCTAGTATGCTAGTTCCGCCTTTTTTGTGTGATGTAATAAATTAATGTTAGGTTGGAGTCGCGGAGTCGGTGAGTCGAATAGGGTGCAAGAATTGCTAATACGATACTTCGTTGAATGTGCAAAAGATGATACTTTTGTATTTAGGCTAACTGATGGTCTGTTGGTTCTGCCTTTGTCCTTTTTTATGAAAATGGTCAGTTGCGTTTTCCTCACGTGGTGAAATTCTTGGGTCGAGTTAGATGTTCTGTGGCATCTAGATGAAGAAGAAGAGAGTAATGTTTCTAAGTTTCTTTCAACACGTTTTCCTTTTTATATACGCTACCAAACTATCTACACCTTCCAGAGTCAACAAAAATTTTTTGGTATATGTGGGAGGTAGAGAGAGAGTAGGCTATACCTCTTTTCACATATCCGGGCCAGTGTCAAAACTGTTCAAAAAGCTCTTCTGGTCGGAGAGGTATGTCAAACTCAGTATTTTACAATATATTTGTGTTGAAGTAGAAATCGTCCAAGTTGGGTTTGGGTTGCCAACCAAGCTTCGTGGTTAGTAGCAGTTGAGGTGTTTAGATGACATGCAAAGCTCAAGGATGTTTATTAGGAAAGACACTTCGACACCTAATTTAGCAATAATTTGTAAAGCTTTTTGATAAAAATAAAAAATAAAAAAACAATAATATGTGAACTATAGAGAGATGAATTCCCAACTAGGGAATATGAGAATATGAGAGTCCCAACATAAGTAATCTTCCCATTGAAAGGCTTCTTCTACAATGGGCTTTATCTTGGTCTTGAGGCCCATGAAATGGTATTGGGTCACTATTCAAACAATTAAAACACAAGGATTGATTGAACCTGGGATTGCTTGTCAACGATTACTGGAAACCATGATATGTGTATTGTCCGATCAGAGGGTATATTTCTACTTGAATCCAACATAAAATGATTTTTTTTTTTTTAATCTTCTTTTGAGTGCAAATCCACACATAAGATTTTATTTATATTGATACCAGTTACACAACGTAGGGTAACCTCTCTCATTTCTAAATTATTTATCTTGTGTCAAGCACTAGATCATATACCAAGGAGTTGAAATTGCTTTTCAGAAACTACAGAGGGTAATGAGAAAGCCACCTATCTATCATCGCCAGACATTGTTCTGGTTTGTACTCTGGAGCTGTGTGACCTGCTCCCTGCAGTGCAACCCAATCTATATATTGTTATTATTTCTCTCTACTCATAGTCTAATTTCTTCTTTATTGATTTTTTTTTAAGTAGTGGGATATATAGTTGTACTTGCCTTTACAGTTGCAAATGTAAGATAATACAAATCATGTCGATGAATCTCTGTGTACCTGGAAACAAACAGATTAACATTTGACATTTAAGTTATATTCATTGCCAAAACAAATGAAACCTTGTTAGGAAACAAACCCTGCAACTTGACCCTTCACAAACCACGGCCTCCATCCGTCTTCAATAATCAGATTCAGCGATTGGATCCATTCATTTGTGCCCACATATGGGATAAGCATGTCATGATCACCGCTGTGACAAATCAAAGAAGTTTTAGGAACAGGAAATTAACTAGAAAAGAGTAAAGATGTATGAGGAAAAATTAAGGGAAGCTTTTGTATACTAGATGTTACCTGTAAATTAGGGCTAGGTATGGTTTGTTGCTAAGGTTTCGATGGTAGTCGACACTGTTAAAGACATTTTCTGTGTAAGATAAGCTTATGTTGCATCTTACCCATTCCTCTATTGTTCCCTGATTATGATTTTATCACACGTAATTAATCCCCGAACGCTAGTAAGTAGAAGCTATTAATTTGGTTCTTCAAGGGACGTCTCATCGATTAAAATTTTGAATCTCTAGGTTGGAAGATTCAGATTCCAATCTTAGGATGTTGAGAGAATTATTATTTTTATTGTATAATTTATCATCTAATGTATTAAAATTAAATAAAAAGCTATTAATTTGGACTTGTATTATACCTCACGGATATGCAGAGCCTTCTGAACGGTTTTATCATTTGCCCAAATATATGAGAGCACATAGTTGTCATACTTGTATGGTTTAAAAAAATAAAATAAAATAAAATAGAATTGGTTAGCCATTGAATTTTATAGAAATTTAGAAAGGATATATCAAGAAATATGAACATTAAAGTTCTTCCAGGCGAAGAAGAAACCAATTTTAGAGAAAATTTACCCGACACCATCGTTTGGAAGGTTTGTATGTTGAAGAGTGAGGATCCATAAATCCTATTAGACTGCTGATTTTTGGTTTTGGATGCACTTCGTACTCACAATTTGGTTCTAGTATTTGTGCAATATCTAAGTCCTTTGTGCACTACAACAAATGAAGATAATTAGTTAGCCTTCGATTAATTATAATCCTGTTTATAGTTTAATTCTAATCTTCCAAAAAAATTTTTAACTAATAAAGAGGTTAATGCTCAGTTAATCTAAATAAAAAAATATTTTATAATCTAAACTGTATCATATTATAAAACTTCTTATTATCTAAAGAGAAGTAGTCCTTATTTAATGACTAGAGTTTTTGCAAGTGGTATAGTCCGGGACCATATATAAAACCACACTGCTATTGAAGACAGTATATACTTGCCTCTCCGAAAACTTTCATATCACGAACACATTTCGTATTTCTGGGATCTGGATACACGTATTTCCCTTTGCAGCTTGTTTTAATTGACTTGAAAAGGAAAATGAAACATAAAGTTTTTTAGTCATAGCACATTACAAGAAAATTTATAAAATAACAAAAGAAACTATTTTGCAGTTTGGTATAATTGAGACTATAAAATAGAAATTTTAAAAGAAAGAGTGAAGTTCTTAATATTTAGGATCCTCTCTATTCAAATATCCTTATTTTGTAAATTTAAACTGTAAAATAAAAAATAAATAAAATAAAATTGCAAACTTTTCTTTTTAATTACCTCATAAAGCGGACGAGGTATTAAAGCTTTTCGGTAAGCAAATGGGACCCTTGAATTGAGATCATTGTATAAGTCTGTTACTGGGTTGCCCAGTATATATCCCTGAGCTCATTAAAAACCAAAAGATATGAAAATCTAGAAAATTCCATACATATTTGAATGTTAACTAAGATACTTTCAGCTAGTCAAACTGCTAGACCATAACCGTTGAATAGAAAATAACTCCAATATTCAAAGTTCTTATCATCCATCTAATAATTTAAGTCGTATCATTTGATCCAATGCAAACTTAACAATACATACCTTTAGGTTCAAAGGTGGATAATGTCCATCTTCATTCCCTATAAGAAAAAAAGCCAATCAATTAAATAAAAAAAATCCATAAAAAAATTAATCCAAAAAAAGGCAAAATATTTTCACTGGTATTTGATTTATAATATTGAAGGTGAAGGTTTTTAATCTTTATATGGATGCGTACCATTTGATATCTCTTGGACCACAATTGGAAGTACAATGCCAGAATAAGAATCGCCAGCGATATAAAGTGTGTTGGTTAGGAAGTTGGTGTGAACCATAAACCACTGCATCATTAACACAACAAATAAACCATTTTTCTTATGAGGCCATCAACATGAGTTTATAAAAAAATCAGCTTCCTCTACATTGAATAGATGTGCCAATTTTGCTAACCTTCTTCAGAAAAACATAGATTTGTGCAGCGGCCAACGTATCAGTAACATTATAAGCTTCAGAAGTTGTTGCATATGAAAATCCAGTGCCAACAGGTTGATCCAAAAATATCATGTTCGCGACCTACAAGATCATTACACTACCCTTCATCAACTGATCATAATGGATAAAGAAATCCAAGCAGGAACTTTCAGTTATTTCTTCTTTGAACCTTGGTCCATGAGTAAGGGTTCAGCTCAAATGTTGGTCTGTTCCCACTTGAATTTAAATAGTTGAATTTTAAGGGACCTACAAAGCATACATGATGATATAAATATATAAGTATAGGAAGAGTAATTGATCGTTACGTATACTAGAGCTCAGTGGCATAGCTAGAAATTTTTTTTGGGGGTGGAAACCAAATTTTAACAAAAAAAAAAGAAGTATGTTTGTGCATGAATTAAAAAAATCAGTTAAAGGAATTTTTTTTTTTTGATAGAAAGTATAATTGTATTAATAATTGAAATAATTATAATGCAAACCATATCTTATATAAGTTGTGCATGAAATATAAATAAACAAAGAAGGATCTATATATGATACTAATATAAATAGTTATTGTTTTTTACAAATAAGATAATTAAACCCTGAAAGGTTCTAAATATCAGTATATGAATTATGTAAAGATATAGAAAAATTACTCTAGAACTTTTTATCTATTGTTGTTAATCACATCTATTTTATTATTTAATTTTAGCAGTGTCCCAACACTACAATGCCTTATCATCAGCCATCAAAAGCTCTCAGGCCTGCTGGTGGACAAAAATCATCCACCTCCACTACAACAGCTGTACATAAATAAATTTGTATCCTTTTTTCCTTCTTTTATGTGGCCATATGCTGTTCCTGAACAAATCTCACATCAATGGAATCCTTGGAGTAATATTCCTAAAATTTCTAAAAAAGAAAACTAGGTACACCTTTTGGCCCCCTCCGCGTTTGTCCTCCTTGGTCTGCCATCTTTCCCCAAGAGCCTCCCTTGCCCTAGACTTCAATCGATCCCTAGAATCCAAGCATCGATCGCCAGCCATCACCGATCAACGACCGTCCGCAAGTATCGCAATCAAAAGGGGACCCCCAACCACTCCTTCATGGTGCACTAGATGTGTGAACAAACTACAAGGGTGGGTGGTTCCTAGATCAAACGTCGCCACCACAACCAAAGCCCACATCTTGTGTTGCCTATTACTCTATTATCCCGCAACCAAATCAAAGGAGGATCTTAGTGGGGGTCCTGAATCAAGGACCGTATTTGCTACTTGTGTTGTTGTCAATAGAGATGAAAAGAAGAGGAGAAGGCTCCTAAGGAGAAAGCATAACCTAACCTTAGCTAGAGGCACAATAATTGTATAAAAAATTATACAAAAAGATTGTCTTCAATCTTCTGTGGTGAATTGGTACATGTTTGACTTGATAATTGAGAAGATAAAAGAATTTTTTATAAACAAGAAAAATAAAATTTACTAATTTTTAACAATAAACTACGTTGATAATGTAGTAAAATACCATCCATTGAAGAAAAACAATAAACCTATATAGCAGAAATATACTAAATAAAAATAGAAAGCAAAACAAAGTATATTAATGAATAAATACTTTGTGAAAGGATAGATATATACCAAACACTCAAATATTTTTTTATTCAATAATTTTTATTTTTTTCATCTTTCTTATTATCTTTATTTTCTCATCTTTCTCATCATCATCAAAAATAATCTTCAATAGTTCAAAAACTTGAAAATAGTTAAAATGGTATAAAATACATAAGAATAAAAGTAAACTACAGTGGATAAAGCAATAGTTGAACAAAAGTTTAGGGGGCATGACTTCAGGCCCTTAGCTCTGCCACTGCTATAGCTGCATTAGAGCATGTAATGTAATTGAGTTGGTAATGTAATTCAGATGGTAAAGTGCATGTTCTAACATTAATGATTTAATAAAAAAACCAACACACGAGACCTCCTTTTCCATTTTAACGTACTTACAAAGAAGTGTTTTAAAACTTTACTGGATTTTAAGCCACATGAATTGTCTGTATTTTTTTAATAATAATTGAAAAATATTATATATTAGTTTTGACTGGATAAAGATATGTATCCCCACCGGTTCAACACCGGTGGGTGCACATATTATAGAATAAAAGTTTTCCTGTATAAACCAAAGGATAAAATTACAAATTTAACCTTCCTTCTCTTTTTCTTCCATCATCCTCTAATCACCATTTTTACCCATCATCTCCGATCTTCATCATCCTCCACCTTCATCACCGATCATTCTTCTTCATCATCAATCACCCATCTCTAATCTTCTCATCACCTTCATCACCGATCATTCTTCTTCTTTCCCTCACCTCATTCTTTCTTCTTCTTTTTTTTTTTTCTCTCTCTCAGTGGAGAACCAAGCTCGAGTTCTCACCGGAGAACCCAGCCCGGGTTCTCACCGGAGAACCCGAGCTGGGTTCTCTGGTGAGAACCCGAGCTGGGTTCACACCAGAACCCGAGCTGGGTTCTTGAGAACCCAGCTCGGGTTCT